GAGAGAGAGAGAGAAAGAGAATCGATTTACACCGAGGTATATCTTTTACAAAATAATTCAGGATTCTCTATAAATAGGACCAAGGGGACGTGAATGAATAATACGAAGATCCGTTATTACGCTAACGTTCCGCCTCGTCCCTTATCGAACGCATCGCGTTCCGGCGTTCGATCTCGTGGGAGAATTGAGGAAACGCGCGCGACTTATCGGCGTGCAAATTGATTCCTGGCCCAGCCCAATCGGGATACCATAACGATAACGGAGATATCATCATACTGACGTGTCTCAAGTGGAAGGCTGTCAATTGAACTCAAGATCACCACTTGTGTCTTTAGCGTGCACGACGACGGCTTTATGTTCGGAGGCAATTAAAGCCGATTAAGACAGCTGCGGCCGACAATTGGCCGGCCAATTGGAAGACGGAATGCGACGATGCGTCGCGAGAAGCTCCTCCCCCCCCCCCGTGTCTCGCCAGGATCGGAATCGCCACTTGACGTTTCTTCTCCCGTCTGTGGCGTCAAACTGAAGACCCAGCCATCCCAACGTGACACCTGTAACAATGCAGCAACACGCTCGTCTCGCCTATTATCAATCCTCTCTTTCCTTCATTCTCGATTTACTGCGATCGTTAACCCGCGACCTACCCGTTTAGGGTTTATTACTCGAGGAATGCCAAAGATCACTCTTGTAGGAATCATAGGTCGCATGTTACGCTTTTCTTTGGTTATTATCTTCTTCGTGTGATTCAGATGATTGTAAGTGAGACGGTTGAATATCCGCGAGAGAAGTCACGATGATAAATGCTGATAATAAATAAAAGAAAAACAAAAAGATCTATCTGATGATAAAGCTAATTATCGCATAATGGAATGTTCCCAAGAAATCCAATGTACGTCAGAATGTTCGTGCCTCCAAGACGGCAACAAAACAATCTTACAATATAAAAGAGACTTAGTAAAATATCAAACAGTGGAATTCAAGCGCGGAATTCAAATACGATTTAACATAGACTATTTCCCAAATAATAAAGTCGCTCGTGTCGTAAAAAAGATCGATTGCCTTAATACATGCGAATAAATGCGAATCCAGCAAGTATACATTTAGCGCTAACAAAAGTGGAACATAATCGCCACTTGTTATGTAAGAAAATTCAGAGACTGCGTTGCATCATGTTTTCCGTTCTCAGAATGAATATCTCGCAAAAGGTGCGGTGGAAACTACCAGTTACCAGTTAAGAGTTAATCTTAGCAGGAGTAAGAAACACCCAATCAGTCACGTCATTCAGCTTTTTACCACGCCTATTATGATTTCTGCAAACTTGTTCATGATATTTTGATTGAAATTCAGAAATTCTATTTTTAACAGGTGATTGCCACATCATTTAATTTCGAAACAACGAAATGTTAAACTTATATAATTGGCAAATTATTATTTTAATTAATAAATCAAGCTTGGACCTGTCGAAAAAAAAAAAAAAAAATTGAGTTGCATCGCGAATGCCGGTTTCACCGCGAAATTTCCGTGAATGATGATAGATGCATTTTCTCCTTCGAATTCCCACGGAAAACAACGGGCGCTTTTCTCATCGGGGTCTTCGCATTTCTTCCGAAGTGAAAATCCAGCTCGCGGGTACATCGAGGGAGGAGAGACGAACTTTGTTTTCGCGGGGGGGACCTCACATATTATGCAAAGAGACTCGTGTTACGCTCGCATTGTGCGCCGCGAGATAACCGGAGTCGTCGTCAAACAAACGTCATAGGCGTCGCTTCGCCGAAGGAAAACCGGTATACTCGAAATGACACGGCAAACATTCCTAGAGCTAGAGATGAGAGCGACGAAAGTTAAATTCGCATAACTTCAAGGTTCAATATTTTCCTTGAAATGAGTAAATATATTTTCTTTACTCGATATAAAATTCAGAATAGCTATCATCGATTTTAAGATTTGTACTTCGGTCGTATGAATTAGAATAAGAGTATGTAACTTTACCAATACCAATTACAAATGATCAAAAAGTGATAAAAGAAAAATTCGATATATTTTTTTTTCCGATATATATATGGAAACACGAGCCGACGAGATCTCGTTGACGTTGCGTGAAATGTTTTTACGAAAACTGCAGGACGAGGAAAGTTTCCAGGAAGGCGCGCAGGAAGAGCCTCGTTATCGCACTCCGTTAGTCGCCTCTGACTCACCACGGTCTCGGAATGCTTCTTTTCCTTTAAATCTCTGAAGCACGTACGGTCCGCGCGCGCCAATCTCGTGGAAGTCCGCTCTAATCAATGATCCCATCGATAATGCATCCAGACCCACGTAATCGCGACGCTCGATCTATTTCCGGACGCGTTCGCCGACGGTTTCGACGGCGCAGCCGATGTCGGCGAGATGTGCCCTCCCGACGCGGAGCAGCGTAAATGTAGCGCCACGGCGTCGCGCGACAGACGAGGTGAAATCGCGAGGGTGGCGTTTACGGACGGAGAATCGTGGAACACACGCAGGAGCGGCTTTCGCGCGGCGTAAAAAAGAGAGGAACGGATCTTTCTTTCTTTCTCTCTTTCTCTCTCGCGGGCACGTACGGCGCGTGCGGCGAGATCCGCGCGGAGAATTTCCGGAGCTGTGATCCGCGCTTCTCGCGGCCGGGATCGGCGTCGCGTCGTCGCCGGGAGAACCGGCGAAGCGATCGAAATAACGACGAGCGGCGAGATTTTGACAGAGAGCGGTAGGCCTAGGCGGCCGCCATGATGGCTCTCGGCGGTTATCGAGTCGCGCGAAAGGGCCGGCCGGAGCGAGCGGCGCATCCGGAAGTCGCGGACAGCCCCCGGCGAAGTAAAGAGATGTTACGTACCTGGAGCTCCCTGACGGAGCTGCGATCGTCGAAATTCTCGGCTTGCGACGCTTCGGTCTGTCCGTTATCCCTCTTTCTCTCTCGCTCTCGCACGTTCTTTCTCTTTCTCTCTCTCTCTCTCTCTCTCTTTCCCCTTTCGCACTCGTTCCCTCTGCTCTCCTCGTCGTCCTCGGCTCTCACATCGATGACTACGCACTTTCCTCGTCACACCTCTTCGCCTTGGATACTTTCTCGTGGAGGAAACACTACCACTGCACCCGTCGCTCTCTTTAAGGTTAACCGTCTCGCGACGACGGATACACCGCAATGACGACGATGACGACGACGATTGACGATTATCGCTGCGCGTTATCGCGACAGCGTAGAGCCGAACCGAAGGACGCGACTAACGGGACGCGCAACTGGAACGTCTCGGGATGCACGACGGTCGGACGTCGGCGATTGTTTTCATTCGACGGCACACGGAAACTCAACCCGAACGAGGCAAGAGTGGAGCTGCTGCTGCTGCTGCTGCTCTTCCTTCACGGCTCTGGCCGCCAGAGTCTGGCGGGCGGCAGGCAGGGCGGGGCTCCGTGCTACAACTCTCGTGAACCCCGTGCGGCAGCGAGCCGCAGCGCCGGCAGCCGAGGATCGCCGAGCGCCGCCGGAGTCGACCGACGCCGACCGGCTTCGCCAGTTTTCAAACGTACAACCCGGCGCTTGACAAATAGTTCGCGTCTTTCCGAAATTTCGCGTGAATTACGCGTGTGTTATGGTCAAGGAGACAATTCGTTGAAAACGGCATCCTATACGATGCGACAAATTGAAGGTCAACAGAGACTCGTTCGGTGTCAGCGGATCAAAAAGTAAGTACCGGCGATTACTTTGCATTACTTTGCGAATGACCGATATTTTGCGTTAAACGGACTAAATTTTATTTTGAAATTATATCGATTCAATATTACACGTAATAGTATTTAGGAATCGATACGGGATTACGGCTTATTGATAAAAACTCTTCTATTATACAAAAAATGTCTATGTTTGTATATTTCGGAGTTGTGCCTTTACATGAAAAATATGAATAATCCACATTACTCGTAAACAATGTAACTATATAAAATGTCATTTATGTAACTCATAACTTATGAATAGAAGATTCATATTTCGTTTATATATACATATATGTATAACATATTTTATTTACATAATGTATCATGTTTTTAATATATATTTTTAATTATATATTTTTATTATTAATGCATTAAAATTAAATAGTAACAATTTTAAAATTTAATTACTTTTTTCTGAATCGTGTATCCGTATTATCCAATTTACAATAATTTAACGTTTATATTGTCTATGTAAAAGAGATTTGTTTAAATATCGAGTAAACAATACGTAAAAAATCTGTGTAGATATAATCTTGAAACACGATACAACCCTGCATAGAGATAATAATGAAGTGTAGAAATGTAAGAAACAAAAGTTTATCCTGCTGCGTTGGTAAAATCATGAATTCTCGGTATCTTAGTCGTGATAGACAATTCCTGTATTCGCGATTCTCTTCGTCGTATCGACGATTCCACAATGACTCTGAAGTTTGCCGACAGAGACCGCGATAGCCGCGAAACAACGCAATAAGATATGCGATATCGGTATTTCTTTCTTTCACTCTGAGAGAGAAATTTCATTGTAAAAATTCCCTCACGCAGATATGATTATTTGACAATGCGAAATTAATATCGAAAAAAAAATTTTTCTTATTTAATATTTAAGTTATATCTTTAAATACGAATTTTAATCAGCATTGATCAGCATTTTGATTAGCATTGCAATTTTATATAAATAAAATCGCTGAAGTATTTCTTGATTTAGATTGCATAATGAAAATGTATAAATTTTTTTCATTACATCACGCGCGAATAAGATTTATTTTATTTTATCTTGGGTAGAACATGATAAAGTAGAGACTACATGGAGGAGAATAGAAGAAATATGACGTCATGCTCACGGCATAGCACATCCGTATTTTGTATATATACAGTATTTTATTCCATAATACTCCGAAGAATCGAAAACCGATTTTTCTTCAACGGAATGCTGATATTTTCCGAATTATATTCTTCGCGGAAATTAAATTCTTCTTTTTTAATTTGAGCGACGTATATTTCGAGAAAATCGCGAAGATCGCGAGGAAATTATACGATTGCGATCGGGAGGAAATGATGGCTAATCATATCTATGTACTTCAAAACGTAGGCACGTTAAGTTTTACACGCGACTTGTGGAACTCGTATGGCGTCGAATGGACGGGTCGTCGTTACAATGGAATAAACCGAGAAGTAAAGCTCGGGAGTGTACAATGCGTGACGTCATTACGTCCTCGTAGATTACATACGCGGCGACCCCGAAGCTCGTCACCCCCGGCGCGAAAGACAGAAGGGCGCCGACGAGGAGGGTGGCCGGCGCGCGAGTCGTGTGGAGCCTTATCAATATTATCAGCGAATGTCGGCGCGGTGCGGCGGGGAAGGTACGAAGGAGTAAGAGGCGTCGGACGGGACCGACGCGACGGGGCGACCGGAGTGATCGTGGTGGGTGATTCCGAGTGGGGATACGCAGGCGCCGTGCACGATCAGCCCCCGCGTTACGTACCGACGTCGCCGGCGTCGTCGTCGTCGTCGCCGTCGCCACCGCCGCCACCGCCGCCACCGCCGCCACCGTCGAAAGAGAAAGAGAGAAAGAGAGAGACGTCGATCCGTCTCGCGCCTCCTCTCGCGTTCTCAGTTCTCCGACCGAACACACGACGGCGACTCGCCAAAACCACGCGAGACTCGAGTCGAAACGACGAGGGTATTGCGTCCGCGGCACCGCGACGTCGTTATCGGCCACTCGAATCCACGAAGGAACGCCTCGAGACAACACCTCGTGCTCATCGCGACACGACGATACGAAGGGGGTGAGGGAGGTTACAAGCACGCGGCGGAGCAACAGTGTTCGGCGACCTTCCTCTGGAGTGCGTCGGTCGGAGACAGTGCAGGGGATGAGTTGAGTGTCACCACCGATCGAGGATACCGAGAGAGTCGAGGAGGCAGCGAGGGGTTAGCGAGAGGGCATCGTATTTCTACGATTCGGTCTGTCGAGCCGCGGGAAGGCGTGGTGAGTCGTTTACGTGCACTCGTCCCCGACTGCATGGAGACAGCGCGACCGTGCGACGAGACCACGTGAAGCATAGGATTGATAGTGAGACGTGTTAGTGAATCGCATGATAACGCGACGCTAACCTCGAGAACGGACAAGGAGAAAGGTGTAAGGAGAAAAATTTGTCGCGTGGATTATTATGCGTTGCCTGAAAACCTTGGCCGAGCTCTCGACCGTGTTCACCGCAGTGACGATCTGATCGTCATGCTCGGTCGTCGGTGACTCGCCGGAAAGTGGATCGTGAGCAGAGGATTTCCCGGGGCTCGACGTGGCTGCATGAGCCGAGGGATATCCCGAGAGAAATCGCGACAACGGCGGTGGTCGGGCATGGTCGCGGAGGATGAGGAAGAAGTACAAAAATAGCTGTCCCCGTGGTTGACCGGAGATGCACAGCTGACCATCCACGACGGAGAGGAAGAGAAGAGAGAGAGAGAGAGAGAGAGAAAGAGAGCGCGCGCGAGAGAAAGGAAGAGAAAGAGTGAGACAGGAAAAGAGGGAGCGAGTGCCGGACGTTCGATTAGCGCTGGCGAGCGCCGCGACTCACGTCGGGATCGATCCGATCGCGACATTCCGCGTCAACTCGACTGCAAACACACCACGTGCCTTTATCGTCACCGTTATTGTTACCGTAACCCGTTGGACGCCCCTAATTATCCCGGGGATCGCGACGCCCTCCCCCTTTCCGCAGTCGGCCGTCGACTCGTCGTGCGAGATCGAGCTGTCCTCGGCGAAGGTCCCCCTCGTCATTCGAGTGCACTCGGGCGATCGAACGACAACGTCGTGGAGATGTCCGAGCCATGCGTTCCACCGAGATCACCGCATCCCGCGACCTCGGCCGCCGTGAAGCCTGACCTCGATCCCACGAGGTCGTGCAAAATTCGCGAATATCGCGCAGGAGTGCCTGTAGTCAGAAACGTGAACTCCCCGAGGATCGAAGCCCCGAGGCTGTTGACCCGCATCGCGACGCCACCGCATTGGTGTTTGTCGACTGTATTAGGACGCTTGATCGCATATTAAACGCGCGAAATAGATCTCGGCGCGTGTCGGTTTTACGTTTAAAACGCCGTCAAACGGTCAAACGGCAAGGCGAAGCGATATGAGACGTTGCCGACGAGAGATGACAAATCGCATCGGGGACGGACGCTGCCGGCGAGCGACGAGCGAAGCGTCGTCGTAGCTTCTTACATCGGCGACGACAACGACGACAGCGCGGAAGAGCCGCGCGCGCGAGACTGCCCGCGATCGTCAGCCGCGTCCTGGAAGCCGTATCAACGCCGCGGCCGCTTCCGTATCCTCGCTATAAATAGGCGTTCCTTCGCTCCATCTGACCAGACACACGCACAGTCGGAAGTGACACACGGTGCGTACACGTGCGACACGTATGCCGGCCGCTCGACCGAAGGTGGGACCGACCTTTCCCCGCGTCCTTGTCGTCTCGACGGCAGGAGGAATCGTCGTGACGTCTCGCGCGCCGACGATCTCCAACGTCACATCTAGATAGGCGAGAACTCCGGGTCCAAACGAACGACGCCGTCGACGTCGGCGAGTAGAAGACACATCGAAGTTCGCACTCGCGTGCGAAACGCGCGGAAACGCGGCCGCACTCCTCTCCCGACATAGCCGCTCGGGATATATATCGATACAACACAAGCAAGACCGACGAACAACGACCGCATCCGCAGGTGTTCCTGTAGCGAAACCAAGATAGACACGGAGTAGAAGAGCACGACGACCTCTCCTCCTCGTTTAGCCTTACTACGTATCGCTCCCCCCCCCCCTTTCGTAAAGCCTTTGTTAAGAGGCGGACGAAAGAAGGAAGTGAACTTCTTTCCGAGAGGGAAGTAAAAACGGACGCATCGCCGCGTGTCGTCCGGTGTCGCAGCAACGAATCTATCTCTTTCCTTTTCCCTCGCGCGAATTCAATCGCATTACGTTACTTCTGTCTTATACTGGCTGATCACTATGCTCAACTCGTGCTGTGCTTTTTTCTACCGTGCTCGTGCATTGTACGCCGCGAGTGTTTTCCTAGTGCTTTAGTGTTACCGCGCGATAATATTAATTGAGAGAGATCGGGCCCGGTGTTGCCCCATCGCACGGTCGAACGCGGAAGTCTTGGCTGCCCAGGTATCTGGGAACCCTGTTCCTGAGATGCCTGTTAGACGGGGTCACGTGGCGCCTAGAACTACGATCATCGAAACCATCATCAGGAAGTTTGATACGCACGGTGAGTTGGAAAAGAATCGGAAATGGCAGTGGCGCCTCGAAAAAATAATTGAACGAAAGAATTAATTGTTTTTGAGGGTTAAATGGCTAAATAATTTGTATTCGCGTATTTGCGATAATCGTACCACGTGATCAATTATATGGTTTACGGGCGAATAAAACGTGACAGTATAATTCTGCCGGGACATAGAAAGTAACTTGCGTTTTACGCGACAATATCGATGTCATTGCATAGCATTATGTTGATTAAATAAATTATAATCATGACATTTATATTTGCGCTGATTAATTCAGCATGCAGCTTTACTGTTTAACTCTGCGACGTGATGATCGTTAATCTGACAAAGCTGCTTAAGTTATTAATGAATGTATTAACATGAACACGAAATAATATTTTATTTGATTAACATAAATTTTCATAATGTATAGCGGTGTTTTATTGCCAAAATAAATCAAGTCTCAAAATCTTACTGCAATATTGATTACGGGCTGGAAACTACGAACATATTTTATATTAATTTGATAAAAAAAAAAATTCGGCTTATCCTTGGAGATCGAGTAAGCAGATCATTTATATGTAACTCGGTTTCCTCCGTTTCGTTACCGCGAATCGGCTTACTTCGAAGGTCAAGACTAAAAATATTTGCCCACTCGTCTTCTCTGACAGACGTGGAAACGTAATCGAAGTACTAGGGAATATTGAGACTGAGATATGCAGAACGTGCAGGCATTGAGCCAGAGGTTCATTTTCAATATTATGTAAAACACCCCGCGACTGTGGTGCAGGGTGGATATGGAAGGGCTCGGTTAAATGGGGAGGAAAGGGGTGGCTCTGTGTCACAATATGGGACAATGCATGTCACTGGCAATATCACTCCAGAAATGCCTCGAGTCCTTGCGAGAGGGGAAGCGGGACGCGGAGGCAGCTCGAATTGATTGCGAAAAGGAAGAGAGATACAGAGGTAGAGAGAAACAGAAACACTAACGATTTCTTTTGCATAGTCGCAATTTCCCGACAAGAACTCTCCTTGATGGGATTGCTTGTTTAGATAAGTGTTAATGTACAAGATTGTAAAGAGTACACACTTTATATCATACTCGTAGAAGTAAAGATGTGATACATTTTATTTTTGCTTGATATAAGAGGAGAAAGACACGAGTAGTTATTCATGTATAAAAATTATATTAATAAAATTCACACTAATTATGGATAAATTTAAAATGTAGTACTAGCAGTATATACGATATCCGTAGTTTGTAATTTATATGAATCGCACAGTATCTGTTTAGAGTATTACATTGTAGTTCAAGGTTAACTGATTGAATTATTATATGTATAGGTAAGCTAAGAAAATTATTTCATATTTATGGTATGATATTATCGTATGACTAACGAAAACGCGATACATGGCACAATGAAACTCATTGCCATAACGAAATGCTAATATATGCATTCGCGCGTAGTTGATATCGAATTTTTTTGAATTTGCAAAGAAATTTGCGTTACCAGTTAATATGGAATATTGCAGATATGTGCCAAGGGAAGCAACTTGAAAAATTATTCTTACACGTTTTAATAATTTTAAATATTACGTTTTCTTTTAATACCATATTTTTTAATTATATTGCGAGATACATAAGCCCCATTAGCCATTTAAGGATAATACAGATATTCTGTAGATTATATTCTTTCAGGGAGCTAAAATTAAATCCTTCAAAAAGACTGCAGAATTCTTTGAATAGAGGATTATAATTTATGTCAAATAATGCTCTGTGTTTTTCTATCTTTAATTCTGCATTTTTTAGTCCAGTCTATATTTTCCTTAAAAAAATATAGAAATAAATATGTATGAAGTTAAATATAGAAATTATATATACTTAAATATGTAAAGTTAAATAATATACGTTTTAAATGAATAATTTCCTCATGGAGAATTTTTATGTAAAATTCTTCTTAATTATTACAAATGGACTGAGTTGTTGTTTATTAGCACTAGAGATTTTTACAAAATCAAATATCAAATCAAATACTGCGCTGACCGCAGTAGAGTTAAAAGCTTGGATAGTAATGTAATTGGATAATTTCGGAAATACGAATTTCGTTCCTTTCCGCAACACAATTTTCTTATTGCGATCAAAAATTGCAAACTGTTTTCGTGGAACTACTTTATCACAGATTGGAGAAGATTCCCTAGCTCGCTTAATTTGATAAACGATATTGCATAATAAATAATGTCACGACACTTAAAGCGATATAACGTTAGTCTCTAGTTTAATCGTTAAATGAATGACCGTAATTCGATGAGATTACGTCTAGCGGAGGTGTCAAGTTTACTGGCACACGATAGAAAAGTGAGGCTCGTAATGTGATTGGATAACGATTCCACGTATTGGATTTCCAGCAGCAATATCGGTTCAACAACTTTTGCAGGATTGCGACGGCTGATTTTCTCGCAAGACTAAATTTATCCTTAGTGCTTACAATTTCTCTCTGACACAGCAAAGCAATAGCATTACGTTTTTTTTTTTGTATACTACTAATGAATTATTTTCCTCTTATTACAAATCAAGAATTAAGTGTAATATCTGTGAAACAACTTTATAACATATTAATTAAATTCATAATGTCATAATCATTCTCAAAAATTAAAACGTTGTTTTTAATCAGTTGAGGCTCCCAAAGGTCGGCTCCCAAAAGTATGTAAATTTAGATATGCATAGTCAATGACGGGGCTTTCTCGTGTACAGAATATTACACCGGAAGCGGGCTCGAGAAGCCGGCGTTTATCGCGGGAGAGCGTGTCTCGGACAATTTCTCGACCCCTCGTAGTTTTCAAAGGGTACTTTGTGTCAGCGCGTCGATGGTGAACGCGTTTGATGAGTCTTCAAGTTCATTCATTTTTCGCTCCTTTCCACACGACTTGCCGGCATTCATGGGAAAAGTTCGTGCGAGGAAATCACAACTGGACAAGTTCGTCCGCGACGAGGAGGGGGGGCGCGGGAGGGTGCGTGGTAATAGGCATTAACGCGATAACTTCTCTTCAGGGGGAAGACCTTCGTGCGCCAATTTATGTAATAAAAAATATGTATGTGTGCCAGTCAAGCCGTGGCTTCTAATCTGACGTCTCCTCTACAGCAATGTCCGTCCGTCTCTGCGGCGCGCGCGTTTACTCTTTTTTTTTCTTCTCTCTCTCTCTCTTCTACCACCACTCTCGCCATAGTTCGACCTAACGATCCTTACGACGGATCGCTCCACGTGTACTCGATATTCTTCACCTGTCCTCTTGAGCTATAATCGAATACGACATCGTCGGACCGATTCGTCTCCCGTCGCAGACGACGTACCTCATCATAATACCGCATCACAAAAAATTAAACAATATGAAAGATACGTGGAGAGAAATCGAGGTAAACTTTTGTTCGGACGGATGGCGATGAATTCCAGATTTTTTTTTTTTCGACCTTTTCCCCCGCAAACTAATCGAGCAATCTTTAAATCGGCTGAAACCCAGCTGGGAATCTGCGCTGCTTTTTATCTCGTGGAATACATTTAACTTTTTTCTTGCGATAATAGGGTCTGTGAACTTGATGAAATTTGCGAGAGTTGGAGACGGAGTTGTATCTCTTCGACCTTTGTATGCAGAAAGAAGAGGGCATTACACTCGGTGCAAATGTCTTGACACCGATAAAAATCTAATCCACTTTATATAATAAAAACTGTATAATAATAGCGGGTACAATACTTATCGATCTCGTATCTCGCAATTTTCACGTTGAACAATATTATTAATTACGATAAATTGCGCTTTCCCGGGGAAATGTCTAAATTGTAAAATCGATAACGCTATTATTCGCAATAGCAATTAACATCGCGATATTATGGAATTCCGTGTACGTCGCCCGATGGATACCGATCACATATATGAATACTATACGTGTCAAGGACACGCCAGGTTCATTCGGCGAATATCCGCGGAACGCACGCAGGACGAGGGATAGGAAAAACGAAACCGATAATGTGTGACACCGGGAACCTGGCACGGGAGCCTCCCTTTTCGTGTACAAAGCTATTAAAAGTCGACAATTGCGATTGCGGCGCTTGGAGTTTCTCTTTCCGTTTTGCCATGAGCTTCACCGCTATTCTTTATCTCGAAGCTACTTAATCTCACGGAACAATAAACGGCGATCTGTCATTCCGATTCGTCGGCAGAGGCAATGGACACGCTGTCACTCACGAGAACACCGCTCGCGTGTTCACGCGCCGACTCGGGTCGGGCGGGTGATTTATTCCGGTAAATGTGCGTTACATGAATAATACGTCGTGACATTGCTTTTTGTAACGTATCTTATTATATATTAATAAGATTTTATCGGGAATAATATGTCTTTGCCGCGACAGTTAACAATTTTAGCGTTAGCGTTTCAATTTGTTTTTGTTTTTTTTTTTCCTTAAATCTTAGTGTGAACGCAGATTGAAAAGATTTGTTACGGTTGATTACCCAAAGATCAGCATAATTGATTCTAAAGCGAGAGAGAGAAAAAAAACGGAATCTTTTATTTAACCACTTGAAAATTTTCTCAACATCCGCGAGTGTGAAACGCTAAAAATCACACCGTCACAACCGGATCAATCAGCCACTTAAGCCCCGCCGTTTTCAACCCCTTTGAACTCTTCGGCGTTTCGCCTCTCGTGACGCTTTTACACATCAAACGTTCACGCTGCACAACGGGGCGACTCGAAAATTTCTATTATAGACATTGATTTGACACAGGATCGATCGGAACACTTCGAGGACATTTATCCACTTTTCTGCTTCGCCTAATGTGGCAAATAGCAACGAACGTCTCGTAACTTGTCGTGTGGCATGCAAATGATCGCTGACATCAAACATGATAAAAAAAAGTATATAAAATTAATACGCCTGAAACTACATATGTAATGTGTGTAGCTTCTCTCTTCTCTCTCTCTCTCCTCCTCCCTCCCTCCCCTCCCTCCCTCCC